TATTTTTCATCTTATGATTAATTGAGAATTTAGTGTTAGCCAAAAGCCCAGTGCTTTTCCAAGGCAAGCTCTCTTTCTCCCGAAAGCGCCACATAAATAGCTTATTCTACAAGATAAAAATATGTAATTAACTTATTGACCAAGTTTCTAACCTACCAATCAACTACAAATACATATAAAGTCAAGCAACATCTATGAAGCTTCTACGAAGCTTCTCTAAAAGGTCTTATAAAATTAACCTACTTTTATTTACTTTTACCTATTCCTATCTTATCATATAACTATCTATTAAAATACTTATGTATATCCATGACACAGATTCAACTAAAGAGCTATTATTTGTTAGCTTATTGGATAAGACGTAATTGTTGTAATCTTAAAAATAATGTAATACAAAATAAGATCTTAAAAAATGACATTTATTTTTCAAATAGATGTTGATTTGCTTGAAAATTTGGCAAAAACAACTTGTAGATAATAATTGAATGAACTTGATAGCAATATTTTGCAACTATACAAAATAATTAGGTCTTATTTTGTAATATAAATATGGCAAAAAAAATTAATCAAAATATATCAAAAAATATTCAATATTACAAATATGAGGCTAAAACATCTGAAAATAACAAGTATTCATTCTTGTAATGATGAATCAAGTTGATATATTATTGTTCTTATTTTATCCAACTCAAATAAGGTTTTTGTGCAAAAAGGATTTTTCTTTTCTTTTCTTCAATGCATTTTCTTTTTTATTATAGTATATTATAACATTCAAGCACATAAATATCAACCACAAAGAATTATATTCTAAATTGTTTTTATTTTTTAGACTTATAAATATATATATATATATAAATATATATATATATATATATATATATATATATTTTAAACTTAAATTAAGGATGAATAAAATTAAGAATTTTTTTATATAATTAATGGCATAAAATAAAAGATATAATTAATAAAAATAAAATATAAATAATTAAAAAAGTAAATTTAAAAATGCAATCAAAAAATTACACAATCCAAAAATTTATCATAGTTTATATCATAGACATACATATTTATTCTAATAATTACTTAGATAATATGAATTTATAAAAGTAGGTAAGAGTAGATAAATTTTGATAATATCTTGTACAAAAACTTCTTGGAAGCTTCTTAAACATGGTTTCACTTTTATATGTATCTATAAGTGATTAGTAGATTGAAACTTAACAAACAAGTTAGCCCTATATTGCATGTATTGATAGCTTGTAATACAAACTAATTATGTATTGCAGATATAAGAAACTTCTCTTGCAAATAAGACACATGTCATGCAAGTTGCACATGTATTAGAGGTTCTATAGAGCATTGATACATAGTTCCTAATTAGATAGTATATGTAAAGGTAAGAGTAAGGCCAACCTCACTCTTGTCAATTCTTTTCTTGCTTCTAGTTTAGATTCAAGAGTCTTTAGATTTTTAGTCTTTTGCAATAGCTATTCCAATTTCTTCTTAAATATACATACTTTCTTTTTTCTATTTTTTCATTTTTCTTTAATACATATCTCACTTATTTACATATCTTCTTTGAATTCTAGTATTTGATAGTTTATTCACTAGATTTTTATCTAATAAAAAAAAAAATATATATATATATATATATATATATAGATATGTGATTTTTTAATGGCATAATAAATTCTAAATCCTACATTGAAGGTGCTACATCCTATAAAGAATATATGCACCTTCTTTCCTACAACTACTACACCAACTATTGATTCTCTTATTTTTTACTAGTAAAACCATATTTTGTTTTGTTTTGTTTTATTTTTTTACATTTTTGCATTTTTGACTTCACCATAATATTAAAAAATATCCAATTAGCTTGAGAACCTTGTAGGATCTTGAAATCTTCTTTAGTTTCTTCATAATGGCTTACCAAGATAGTAAAATCATTTTTACTAAAGTCTTAAAAAATTATTCTAAAAATTCCTAAAAACTTCTATATAAATTCTAAATAAATTCTAACAATCCTTATAATATTTCTACAATTATAAAATCTATTTAAGACTACTTTTTCAATCTTTTTGATTTTTTATGCTAATGGAATCAATTAATAATTTTATTTTTTACATAAATAAGTAAAAAGATACAAGGTTTCTTCTCATGCTTCTTCTATCTACTAGCTAATATTTATAAGTTTTGAATAGATAATACATGTAGATAGAAGACCAATATAGATATTAGTCTCAATAACTAAACACTAATTTAGACTATTAAAAAAATACAAAACCAACTAAGATAATTTTCTCTAAGACTTACTAAAACTCCATTTTTATGACTTTTTTTTTTCTAATAAGACTCTTGTAAGTTACAAAGCCTTCAAATTTTAAATAAATATTTAATAGTCAAATATATTCTCTAATCTTAATATTTTATATCTAAATGATTTAAAACCCTATTTTAACAATCTCACCAATTAAAATGCATTTGTGGGATTTACAAATATCAATTAATGAAGGTATATGTTCAGACTTATTAACTGGCATTTCAAGTTTAAAAAGCATATTGAATACGTAATAATATTGAAATAAAAACATTTCTGTAAATGAAAAAATAAACCATACTTCTAAATATTTTTTGATTAGCTCCACGTCTCTTCAGGTCAGATTCTTCATGTCAACCATATTCAAACCAATTTCATTCAATGGATGAACCAGTCTATCTACATCTAGAAAAAAAGATGAATCTTCTAACAGGTTTTCTACCAAAAAAACTGACAAAGTACCAATAGTTTTTTAAAAAAATTAACCAATTCTATATTTATTTCAATTAGATAACAACTTAACAACTCTCTTGTTCCACCGGGGGATCAAGGGCCAAGCTAAGCCAAGCCAAGCCCAGGCGCAGGTATTGCAATCTGATCGCCGACTCGTCTTTCTGATTTCAACATGAATGGTATCTAGAATCGGCCTAAGTATAGTGGTGACAACCTCCATTTGTAGTGCATTTCTGGTGACTCAAAATAAACATACACGAAGTCATGGGGAAAATGATACGACAATGGGTCACCTAATGACCTACGCAATTCTAATATAAACCCAAATAGGCTACAAATGCTTAACAGATTTTGGAGCCAAGTATTCTGCACATAATAACGTAGAAAACAAGTCAAGTAGGAAGCTTTATATGTTATTATGGGCACAGCACTTCGTTCGTCACGTATTGGGGCGCAAAATCTGAACCAAGAAAACGCTGCTAGTGAACTTAGTTGTCGAAAAAACGTAGTGACCAATAGTTCTCCCTTCACCCATCAGACTTTTCGAATCGATGCAAACTTTCGGATTTACAAGATTCTTAGAACTTGCTACCACTAGCAATTTCCCAACAACATAAAACTGACAGACCCAGAACAAGAGGTTCCTCCATTCGTAAGTGTATGGAAGTAAGAGAATCGAAAAAAACGAAGGAAATAAAATCCTTGGCTAATACTAGTCAATCCACTTATCAATGAATCTATGATTCCTACATGGTCTCCATCGGTGCAGTTGACCACAACAGGAACCAAATGAGAATTTTCTCATCTCAACTTTCAGTTGCCAGAAAACATAAAAACGAAGAGCAAAAGATCCAAAATGGAGCTGATACCCAGAAGAACAATTCTTTCATAGAAATGGTTGGGTGGAAATACATAAATATCCGTGCTATGCAAATAGGAATCAAGCCAGAGATCCAGACACCAGTACATAAAGGCGAGGTCAAATGTCAAAATGTTAATCAAGTTCGAAATACCGACATTAGCAGCTGAGTGTAGGGTAAGAATACTTGAAATATAGCTGATTAATCATTTCTTCTTTTCCTAAAAGAAACAGCAGTTGAGGGCCAAACCTTTGGAAAATACCAGTGTTTGGCCACTAAGTTGCTCCAGCCCCTGTAATACTCAGTCCAGACAGGTACAGTCAGGATAGGACATTCTGTTTTTGTTTACTTTTTTGTTTTTGAAATGATCGAACGAAAAAGCTAACTTGGAAAAAAAAAAAAAAAAAAAAAAAAAAAAACTCAAATGTTGCCACCTACGCAGTTATGATAAACAGGCAAATAACAATACCTTGGATGATCGAGTCAATCGGTCTCCACTTTCACCAACGGAGATATTGTGTACAAGCTTCTGCACCTTGATTTCCCGCATGGAATTCTGCTATTGCTTTTCTGAAGCCTGCAATTCGACATTTCGTAGGTATGAAACTGAAGACCGCGCGACCTAAAATTCCCAGAACCAAAACTCGCTCTCTCATTTCCAAACCACTATATTTGCAATAAATAGGTTTGGAAGAAACTAATTAGAACCTTTCAGAGTGCAGACAAGAATTGAAACCTCTCAAAAACCTTCCACAAGAGAGCAGTCCGACACACAAGTATTTGGTTCCCTCACAAGCGTCATCGAACTCGGATCCACTTCGATAAAGGATCCATGCCTATCTATCTTCAACAAATCTATCTTCAACAAAGAAGCGGATGAGAGCCTAAAACAATAACTTTCACATCCTTCGATCTCCTCAGTCCACATTGAACCCTGAAGAGCGCGACCGAGCACGCTACCAGCCCCACATGAGTGACCCAAAAACGCAACGAGGGAATAGAGTTGGCGTACCATAGCTGCAGGAGCTTCGAGAGCAGCCACGATGGCGAGGCGAGCACAGCACTGATGCGAAGAGGCTGAGCTTCACTGGAACTGAGCCCTGGCTGGTGGCAAAAGACCACAGTCTACAAAAGAGACTGCCATTCACAACGAATGAAAAGACACCCGTTGATCGAAACCCCCAACGGGAAACAGTAAACACTGAACGCATAATTGCCATGCGGTTTAGGGCCCATCCAACGTGAAATGTTCAAAAAGCGCTTTTCCGTGTGAGATGTTAGGCAAACTGATTACGACCTCAAGACAATTTCCCATCACGCTGTTCACAAACATAAAAATGCTAAATGATCGCTTCAGTATCAAACCATTTATGAAAGTCAAGGGAAATTCCAGTTTATTTTGGTGTGCAGTGTTACAGACTATATTTTTTAGAATTCATTTTAGGATGTGTATTTCGCTCACATGGAAATGCAAGCTCATTGCTGGCTTGCATCTGCAGATGTGAGAACACTTTACTGGTTCTGTGTGAGGCTCATATACTAGAGACTGCATGAGTGGCAAATTCTCAGCTAAACATCCTGGAGTTTAAAGTTTGCGTAGAATCAGACACTTTCGATGTACTTCGCCGCACACTTCAGAATACTCATACTACATTATGTAATCATGAGAAAAGGGCATGGATTTACAATAGCTACCTCCCCAATGTATCAGTATTGGGAAACTGGTAAGCAAAACGAGTGTCTCAGCCTCCATTTCTCATCACAAAGCTCGTTCATCTGGGACGCATCTACAGATGAGCAGCTCACAAATGATAGCTACGATCTAATGCTCCAATTCGACATGAAAAATTTCACAGCAAATGGTTCAGCAATTTCGAGCCTAGCAGATTAGACCAGCTTCCCGTGTGCGTCTCAACTCTTAAACGTCACAGGGGTCCTCGAGTCGCATTGAAAGAGTGACCTAAGAGGCCACCTGCGATGTTTAAGGGTTGAGTGGATTAGATTACAGCGGCTGATCGAGGTAGCTGTCAGCTTTTGAGCGTGGAGAGGATGGCTTGCCTCCAAGGAAGCTGCCCAGCCCACCTGCAGCTTGGACCTTACCCAACCAGCTGTTCACCACTGAACCCCCTGCCCAAGCTGGTATCCACCCTTCCGCACCGACGTTTGCTTGAACTGCACGACCGAAGCTTGTAGTCCCGGCAAAGCTTGCACTCTTGGCGAGGTTCTTCTCCTCCACAGCTTTCAATTTGTCTTTCCAAAGCTTGGCCATGTACTTCATGATTGCCTCGTGACCCTGCTCCAAAATTTCCTCTGGGGGGACCACAATTGGGTTTTCATCCAGCTTCAGCTTCCTCAAGTTCGTGAGCTTGCCCATGGAAATTGGCAGCTCGTGAATTTGGTTGAAACTGAGGTCGAGCTCTGTCAGAGAAACTAAGTCCCCAATTGAGTCTGGCAAATCAGCAAAGTCCCTGAAATTGCTGCTGGCGTCAAGTACTGTGAGGTTTGAAAGCTTGCCGATTGTTGAAGGCAAGCCCTTCAGCTTGTTGAAATGAACATCTAAGAACATCAGAGCTCGAAGCTCGCCAATCGATGGTGGAAAGCTGGTCAGTTTGTTTAAGTGCAAGCACAGTGTCTGCAGTTTAGAGAACTGAAAGCCAAAATCGGCTGGCCACGTTTCCAGCTGGTTGAAATTCGCTATGAGCTCCACGAGAGCCCTGGCATTTCATCCCGCTACTTGTGTCAGTTATACAGTAGTTATCAGAAGATGTGATCCTCAAGAAAAGGGAGGTTCTTGTAGATCTTTCACACATTATGAACGGCAACCATGCATACACCTTTCCTAACACTGTTCAATCCACCATGAGCTGCTTGCTTAGTTTGCAGCAGTAGGACAAGTATTTTGAATTTTGTTGGTGTCGCAAACGTGGAAAACCAAGAGAAGTGGTACCTGCATCCACCAAGACTCGCAGGCAAAACTTTTAATGCGTTCCCTGAGATGTCAAGTGACTTGAGACTTGTGAGTAGGCCTATCGAATCTGGTAACGACTTCAACTGGTTGTGTTGTAGGTCAAGCACTTCCAACTTCACAAGACCGCCGACAGCATCCGGCAAATACTACCCACAGCAGACACATAAACAAAATGTTGGTCAGCTTTAGGGGTCCGTTGCAAACGACTTGCTAATTCCATGTTGGCTGCATATTAAATGTCTTCCTAGTAAAGAAATCAAACGATCATCAACTGAGTACAAAACACAGCAAAAGATAACAAATCAGCCCAGCCTCTGAGCTAGTAATTTTTCAAAAGCAGAAACGCTTCTAGTAGATCCTCACCTCCAAGCGATTGTTGGACAAGTTCAGAATGATCAAGGATGAAATTCTGCCAAAGGTTTCAGGAACATGCGACAGAAATTGGGTGCTGAGGTCGAGGGTGTCATGCTGTTTTTCAAGTGCTTCTTGAAGCTTTAACGAGACGTATTCGTCAACTTCCTCTTCCAGAATTACAGTGCTACTAGATGGTCCCTCAAATCCCTCAAGAGCTGATTCTGCTTGCTTCACTTCCTCTTCATAAAGCACGTGCAACTCTTCCAATTCAAGTAAAGCGACATATGGCTCTTTCCCCTTCGCAGCAGATTCCTCCAGAGCTCTCGCCTAGTCAGACAAGAAGAAGCCAAAACACAATTATAATTGAAGCATACCCAAACTCTCAAAAATAATACGAGAATCAACTTACGATGGACGATGAAGTGCCCAAAAGCTCCTTGTAACTTGTAAATCGCATAATAGATCTAACTAATCTCAATCTGCAAACCCTAAAACCCACAACGCGGTATTTTGTTTGTTTGTTCGTTTGATTGTTTGTTTAATTTAATTTTTTTTTAGCAAATGAGGAACTGTTACGTCTTCGGGTGATAGACAAACTCCCATCATACACCACAATTGTCAAGGATCGCAATTGAGAAAGATCTTTGGATCACTGAGCATGTTGTGGATAAGCGAATTGTTATGAAAAAAATTGTACCTGGGAGAATCTCCACTGCTGAAGGTCTTCACCAGGGGGACATTGTCCGGTAAACAATTCCTCCAACTGATCCTTCAAAGAGCTTTCAATCAAAAGTATCGATTTTCGCGCTTCCTCGACTTGAACAGGATCTGGACGCTCCCCCAACTCCTTCAACTTCGCCCTAGCTTCGGCGAGCCTCACAACTTCCAAAGCCAAAGCCGCCTCTGTGGGGTTCACAACCTTCACTTCAATCGGATCCCCCAAATCCACGTCCTGGAACGCCATTCCCGGTTACTATGAACTGCTCTGAAAAATTTGTGAAAACCACGCTAGAAGTGTTCCATTTCGGCACCAGAATTGTCCACGGTCCGTAACCAAAATTTAACCCCACCACCTCGAACTCAAAAACCCACAAAGGCAAAGTATCTGCTATTCGGTAAGCGAGCGGTACTGACGGAGAACAGAAATGCACTACAAATGGAGGTTGTCACCACTATACTTAGGCCGATTCTAGATACCATTCATGTTGAAATCAGATTGAGTCGGCGATCAGATTGCAATACCTGCGCCTGGGCTTGGCTTGGCTTAGCTTGGCCCTTGATCCCCCGGTGGAACAAGAGAGTTGTTAAGTTGTTATCTAATTGAAATAAATATAGAATTGGTTAATTTTTTTAAAAAACTATTGGTACTTTGTCAGTTTTTTTGGTAGAAAACCTGTTAGAAGATTCATCTTTTTTTCTAGATGTAGATAGACTGGTTCATCCATTGAATGAAATTGGTTTGAATATGGTTGACATGAAGAATCTGACCTGAAGAGACGTGGAGCTAATCAAAAAATATTTAGAAGTATGGTTTATTTTTTCATTTACAGAAATGTTTTTATTTCAATATTATTACGTATTCAATATGCTTTTTAAACTTGAAATGCCAGTTAATAAGTCTGAACATATACCTTCATTAATTGATATTTGTAAATCCCACAAATGCATTTTAATTGGTGAGATTGTTAAAATAGGGTTTTAAATCATTTAGATATAAAATATTAAGATTAGAGAATATATTTGACTATTAAATATTTATTTAAAATTTGAAGGCTTTGTAACTTACAAGAGTCTTATTAGAAAAAAAAAAGTCATAAAAATGGAGTTTTAGTAAGTCTTAGAGAAAATTATCTTAGTTGGTTTTGTATTTTTTTAATAGTCTAAATTAGTGTTTAGTTATTGAGACTAATATCTATATTGGTCTTCTATCTACATGTATTATCTATTCAAAACTTATAAATATTAGCTAGTAGATAGAAGAAGCATGAGAAGAAACCTTGTATCTTTTTACTTATTTATGTAAAAAATAAAATTATTAATTGATTCCATTAGCATAAAAAATCAAAAAGATTGAAAAAGTAGTCTTAAATAGATTTTATAATTGTAGAAATATTATAAGGATTGTTAGAATTTATTTAGAATTTATATAGAAGTTTTTAGGAATTTTTAGAATAATTTTTTAAGACTTTAGTAAAAATGATTTTACTATCTTGGTAAGCCATTATGAAGAAACTAAAGAAGATTTCAAGATCCTACAAGGTTCTCAAGCTAATTGGATATTTTTTAATATTATGGTGAAGTCAAAAATGCAAAAATGTAAAAAAATAAAACAAAACAAAACAAAATATGGTTTTACTAGTAAAAAATAAGAGAATCAATAGTTGGTGTAGTAGTTGTAGGAAAGAAGGTGCATATATTCTTTATAGGATGTAGCACCTTCAATGTAGGATTTAGAATTTATTATGCCATTAAAAAATCACATATCTATATATATATATATATATATATATATTTTTTTTTTATTAGATAAAAATCTAGTGAATAAACTATCAAATACTAGAATTCAAAGAAGATATGTAAATAAGTGAGATATGTATTAAAGAAAAATGAAAAAATAGAAAAAAGAAAGTATGTATATTTAAGAAGAAATTGGAATAGCTATTGCAAAAGACTAAAAATCTAAAGACTCTTGAATCTAAACTAGAAGCAAGAAAAGAATTGACAAGAGTGAGGTTGGCCTTACTCTTACCTTTACATATACTATCTAATTAGGAACTATGTATCAATGCTCTATAGAACCTCTAATACATGTGCAACTTGCATGACATGTGTCTTATTTGCAAGAGAAGTTTCTTATATCTGCAATACATAATTAGTTTGTATTACAAGCTATCAATACATGCAATATAGGGCTAACTTGTTTGTTAAGTTTCAATCTACTAATCACTTATAGATACATATAAAAGTGAAACCATGTTTAAGAAGCTTCCAAGAAGTTTTTGTACAAGATATTATCAAAATTTATCTACTCTTACCTACTTTTATAAATTCATATTATCTAAGTAATTATTAGAGTAAATATGTATGTCTCTTCGTGACTCAACAAAGTACTTTGTCAACCCTCCCGTAAACAATTTCGTCGCCAATCATTCGGTACCTATACACACACGTGAGAAGGAAATATAAGAAGGGAAAAAGAAAAAATCATTTAGATTTTGCAGAGAACCATGGCTGACAAGGGACAAGGATGCAGGTTGTACCAACAGTGTTCCCTTAACGGAGTGGGAGCAGGACGAGACAGTGAACAATTCAACACTGGGAGCTCAGCAAGGTACACATCCATCCCGAAGCTCATCCATCTCTTGGTTCTAGTGGTGCCCAGTCAACGGTACACGAACGAGAGACGTTAGTATTATTCACAGCACAAGGGGTGTAAACCACTGACAGTGCTCTTGGCGTAACCAAAACTAATCATCTACTTCACAGCTCACAGATATGCCTGAGTCGTACCTCGTGCTTGCCGAAACTCCGTCGTTGTGGATCCCACCAGATGCGAGCTGTGTATGTTGCCTAACAGACCCAGATCACCAAGCAGACCTGCAACGCGCTTTAAGCCATAAATGGACTTAACTCTTCACCTCAGATTGCATGTAATTGTTGTCATGGGGCCGCAGTACACAGTCATCTTCACGTTAGCGGTAAATAGATTGTCACATTTGCCCACAAACACACCCGGCCTGCAACGTTTTCCGAGCTTGGTCAAGAGTTTGCTAGGTTACGGCATGACTGTGAAAGGCACACGACTAATGAAAGAGTAATGGGACTCCAAGCTGGTGAGTAGAAACATGTGGTGAAGTCTCTGTTTGAGCTCTTCCAGTCTCTGTTAGTTAGGGTTGCCGCCGCTGCACAGACGGCTTGAGCATCCAGCACTAGTGGGCCCTTCGAGCATGTCCCAGCAGCTAGATCATGCCGATCTGGGTTCCATCCAACCATGGCCGCATCGTTGCCTTGTCCATGCCTCTGCCAGGAACTTCCTACCAGAACTCCCGTACGAGGACTTCGCTATCAGAACTATGGACTGTTGTGTGCGAGTGTGAATAGGGTGTCGTGGATGGTTGTTTCTTTACTCGTCTATTTTCTGAAGTGGTATTTATTTTTATGATTTTCTTGTGTGCAAGAATGATATTTGAATTATTTTTTTGAATTTTTATTACTATTGTAGTTGGAAAATGATAATGTTGTGGTTTAGAAAGAGTGTTATATTTGTCAAAAATAATTATTTGTTTACCTATTCGTATTTACAAGAGATTATTATTAAAATTCAAAGATGGTATACATTACTCTAAAAAAATGAGGTTTATTACTATTAAAAAAATTTAAAAAAAGAATTAAGAAATATATTTTATTGTATATATACATTTACAAATGATTTGTGTCATATAACAAATTTAAGTCAATAGTTACATTGTTCTTAATTCTTGATAATTTTTTAGAATTCAATTATATAAAAAACATAAAATAAATTATAAGTGGTTTATAACCAAATATATTATTAGCAATTTATTCTTATATTTTTGGCTCTAGATATTGTGGATGGATGTATTTAGTATTCAAAACCTAATAAAAAAATATTTGATTTATTTTTACTAGAGATCTATTTATTTATTTCCATTCAACTGTTCTTTATTCAAAACACTTTGAAATTAGATACAAAATATGTGCAAAAAATAATAATTTTAGAGGCATTCTAAAACTATGGTAAAGTTTTAATATTTTTAATTCCAAGATTAAAAATAACCTCATTTGAATGACATCCTTGCCATGATACTTGTAATTCAATTTAAAACATTTTATCATGTATAAGCAATCTTTATTAATGAATTTGACTTGTAGTAATCATACTTTGAGAAGTTTTGGTTTCTACTTTTGTTTCCATTAACATATTTGTATAGACATGAAGATACCATTCTATTACATGTAGACATAAAGATGAGTCAATATTCTTCTGGTTCTCACATTGGGCTTGTGGTTCAAAAAAATTGAATATTACATGAACATAATTTTTTTCAATATTTGCAGCAAAAGTACTTCTATAATATATGAAGGCACTTATTTGCTGAGGATAAATGTATGTTTAGAAAGACACAAGAGTAGTAGTAAGTAATATACACACATATAAGAGAGTTTCTAAGGAGAGAGAGCTTTACACACAAGTCTATTGATCTGGTTGTATCACATATACAAGAGGAGAAGGCAAGAAGATAAACAGTTCCTCTCCACTACATTCCAAATATTGTAGCTATAGTAAATATTATGGAGAGCATCAGTTACATTTAATGCTCTTAACACTCTTCCTCACTCATCATAATATTTACATAATATAAAATTTGTATAGAATTATGATCTATATTTTTCTGTAATCTCACAAGATCAATAATTGTTGCCTCATTAAAATCTTATTTAGGAAAAAATTATTGTATTTAAGGGCAAATCCATAGATGAAGAAAAAAGAGTACAACATTATTTTTCTTTTAATTATTTAAAGAGTTCATTAACTTTTTTATTCAAAAAAAGCAAGTTGCCGCATACCAATGCCATAAGTAAGTCGATGACAGTTGTACAATAGGAGAGCTTTGGTGAAGAGATCAGCAAGGTTATTTGTAGATTGAATTTTTTTAATTACAAGTACTTGATCATTAATCAATTCATGGATATAATTAAAATACTTTGGATCAATATTCTTTATTTTTTCGCCTTTAATGAAACCAACTTGCAATTATACAATATAAGCACTATTATCTTCATGCAAGATAGTGGGAGAATTACCATATGAAAATCCACAAGTTGTTTGAATGAATTTATCAATTGATTGCAATCAAATATATTCTCGAGATGCTTCATGTAAGACAATAATTTCTTCATGGTTGGATGAAGATGCAATTATTATTTGTTTCACTGATTTCTATGATATTGTAGTTTGATGTCTTTAAAATACATATCCTGTTTGAGATTTAGCTATTGTAATATCAGATTTATATCTCGCATCACAATATCCAACCAATTTTAGATTTACACATTGTGTGTAGTATAATCCCAAGTCTTCAGTATCTTTTAAATAACATAATAAATATTTGATGCCATTTCA